CCATGCTTTTGCTCAGTTGTGTTTCCTCTTCCTTCCTAATTATGGACTCAATAATACAGGTAGAGTATCCTTTAACCAAAATGTTTGGGACTAGAAATGTTTTGGAATTGTAAAGTTTTTTGGATTGCAGAATATTTGCATACACGTAATGAGATCTTGCAGATGGCTAAACATGAAATTCATTTATGTTTCATATACACCTTATAAACAAAGCCTGACGATAATTCTCTGCATAATCTTTTTAATAATTTTGTGCATGAAACAAAATTTGTACACATTGAACCATCAGAAAGCAAAGGTGTTACCATCTCAGCCCCCCATGTGGACAATTTTGGGATTTTCTGGGTTTTGGAATTCCAGATAAAGAAAACCTGTCTCTTCATTTTGGAAGGAAAAAAGGGAGGATGAGGAAGAGCATACACGAAAAATACTTTTTAGTGCAAATATTGAGACACAAATAGTGTTCAATTCAGCAAGTATTGCCGAGATCCCGTGTGGATCATTTTTGGATTTTGCAATATTTCAGATTTCAGGAGATCCAACCTGTGGTATTTATTAATTTGAGAGTTTTAATCTTTTTTATTTCTGTGGATTTTTGTGGGTGTTTTGGGCTATGTGGCCGTGTTCTAGAAGATTTTATTCCTGATGTTTCACCAGCATCTGTGAAGCAGCAAGTGTCCAAATGGACCTGGGAAGGGAGTGGGGCTGCAGAAAGCCATAGTAGGACTCTGGTGCTTTAACATTAGCCTGCACACACAGCTGTTGCTGAGCGAGAACCAGGGAGCGCCGGCAGATTTAAACTCCGCCCGGAACATCTCCTCTCCTGGCAAACGCGGCAGCGGCGGTGGCAGTGTCGCTCAGAGGACTCTGGTGCTTTAACATCAGCCTGCACACACAGCTGTTGCTGAGCGGAGAGCCACGGAGATTTGCTTAGGACTGACGTGGTGGCGGTGGTGACCCCCTTGCCCGCAGAAGCCCTGGGAAGGACTCTGCTTCCTTAAGGGCTCTGCCTGCCCTTAACTTTGACAGCTGGGCGGCTGGGAGTGGCTTCGCACCGCAGGCTCGGGTTTTAGCCTCCCCTGCGACAATCCCAAGGAACTGTAGAATCCAGTGAGACTGATGGTTAGCATAAAGTATTGGCCTGGAGGTGTATTACACCATCAGTCGGTAGTCTTGTACTATTAGACTGTGCACCATCCAGACTCCAATCACTGTAATTTATTAATGGCTGGAAATTGTACCACCTTATTGGAGGCCGGGAACGAATTGGGAGCGCCCATCGGAGTTGTGTTGGGGAAAGGGAGGTATGGCTGGAATAGAGGGAACCAATGTTACAAAAGAAGATGGGATCGCTGCCTGAAAGCTATCCTGTCTTCAGTTCCCCCTGTTGCTCCGAATGGCATGGGGAGCAGACCAACCATACCACAGAACCTCACTCTGCTCCTCTGCAATGCCAGGTCGGTTAAAAATAAAACTTGTATTATCCAAGACCTTCTCTTGGATGAGGATGCCGACCTGGCATGTTTCACGGAAACCTGGCTGGGGGAGGATAGTGCGGCGATCTGGGCACAGATCCTCCCAGCCGGGTATTCTGTTAGTGAGCAGGTGAGGGGAAGTGGGTGGGGAGGCGGAGTGGCTCTAGTCTATAAGAACACTCTGACCTTGACCAGGATACCTGTCCGGAATACGGTCCACTTTGAGTGTATGTACCAGGGATAGTTTGGGGATTCTGCTAGTCTACCGACCACCCTGTTGC